CGCTGCCACCACCGGAACTACCCACAGGCATTGCTGTAAATAAATGTTTTCCTTTTTTAACCATTGGGCAAGTTAGCATCTGTGGTTATTTAGGTATACCGCGTACCGGAATTAATATTCGTTTTCTTATCCTATGGAGTTTGAGAGATGCATGGAGGTTAAACGGGTAGGATCCCAGGTTTGACCACTTCTGTCAGGCAGAAAGTTTTTATCTGGTAAAGAATATTTATTGATGTGCTGAACTTAAATATTTATGGTCAGAGTGGTAAAATAGCTGTGAAATCAATTAATAATTTGTATTTCCTTGACCAGTCAAGAGAGACAGAAGGAGATGGATGTCAAGAGGATTAGCAGGAAGGGATTCTGCCTGCGGTGCAGTGCCGAGCCCACCACCAGCGCCCCTGCAGCAGCACTGACCTTGAATTTCAGAAGGATTTAAATTAGAAACTATATTTCCCTTCTCCTCCATCTAATACCCTCAAAACCTCCAGTTCTAGCCTTGCATCTGCTGGGATTATGGGAGGCTGATAGATATTACAAAGGTTTGGAAAGTGTACATTTGATCATTTGACTATTTCTTGTGCTAGTAATATTTATTTCCTTTAATAACTGAGTTTTAACTTTTTCGATAGACCTAAGATATGTTCACAAAAGACTTCTTCTCTTGCCTCTGGGGTATAATCTTTGCATCCCAACTGGCTACCAGCTGCAAGCTGCAGTGATCTAAACATTCCTACAAATTGCTGGTATTAATCTCTGCGTCCTTCTCTTAACTTCCTTGGAGGCAAAATTTATAAAAAAAAAAGGAAAAAAGAAAAAAATCAGTCAACATTCCTCTGCCAGTCTAGCTTGATGAGAGAAGTTCTTCCTGAGCTCTTCTTAAACTCTCAAATCCATGGAACCTGAAAAGGCAGAGCTCTTAAAATACGGTAATAGATGGGTAAAATGGGACATTTGAAATGCAGAAGGAGATGAAAAAGGCAATTATTTAAATTTATGATGGAGAAGGATGGAAGGGAAGAGTCCTATGAACTTTGCACTCCTCCCTGGCCAGTAGAAAGCAGAGATCGTAGCTGGAGGAGGGTCCAGGTCTTCATTTCCAGGCACAGGAACTCCCTCCCTGCTCCGTGGGCCTGCTCGGCACGCTGTGGGGAAGCAGGAGGTCATCTGGATATAGCCCTGTTTGTTCCAAACGGTATCAGCAGCTGTACATGCAGACAGGATTATTTTGGCAGCTCCTGCGAGGCAGCCAGTGGGTAATACTGATGATTTCTGGATGAGGAGGAGGGAACTACTGAAAATATGACATTTAGAACTTGATGACTTTGTACCAATGCACGTTAGGCTGTATACTGAAAACTCGACTGCTTCTTCCCACGTGTAGTTCCTTCCCTGAAGTGAGCATTCTTTCCTCTCATTTACATTTTGCAATTAATTCTTTGAATATCTCCCAATATTATGGATATCACCACCGGTTTCCGTGCCTGACGCACAGGTCGGTGAATGAACGTGGCAGGCTGCTTTTCTGTGTTTCACTTGTATTGTAACCCTACCAGGGTTAAGCTGGTGATTCAAACTGGGTGTATTTAATTAGGATTAAAGGGAAAAAACTTTCAGCGTACAGCACCAGATGTTGACAGTGCCACCTTTTCTTACATTGCAATAGCTTCAGTGAAAAAGCTGTTTGCTTTCCATTTGCAGTGGGACCTTTCCAGTCTTGATGTCCGTCTTTATTTCTCAAATCTCACCCTTTCGTCAGGTGACTGGTTCAGGCAAGGAGGTGTGTGCCAGCTCAGAGGGGACACTGCTCTGTTCATCAGATGTTTCTGCTGATGTCGACATGTGGCGTCAAATAGGACAAAAAATTTTAGTGACTCTGGCCATGGGTTAGGTTAAACGTAGTAGCTTTTTTCAAGTTAATTCTGTGTCTCTTGACGATTCTGCTTGGTATTCTCTCACAAAGGCAGATTTAATTGGGGCAGGTTACGTTTGCTGATGGAAGTGCTGTTTAGAGAACAACCCGATCTTGACTCACCACTTGCTGAGTAAACAAATAACATCACTGAGTCCGTGCCTTGATACCTCTTTCATTTTATGACATTGCATTGCCATATTCAAAAGATTTCCTCTCCTCAATAATCTCATCAAACTCTTTCGCAATAGGAAGAGAAGTAGACCATGGCCTCCTGGACAGACCTGAGGCCGGGTGAGAACCATGGCGGTATAGCTGCGTTTTCTTTCTCACTGCTATGGAACCCTCTTTTTCTCATCTGCTAGTTCAAATAAACTGTTCCTACCAAAACCACTTGCACAAACCGCACTTATTGCACAAAATGTGCAACACTGGTCCCTGAAGAGGCTTCTGTTAAAGATGATGCGTGAGGGCACCTGTGCACCTTTGGTACTTGCAGCTTTTCATTGTGTCAGAACTCAATTTGTGCTTCTGTGTGAGTCAGGTGTGAGTCCAGAGGATGCAAAATACTTGACATTTCCATTAGGTTGAACAGCAGAAACCCCTTTCTTTTCGGTGTAGCTGTCTCTAGTTCACACTAAGAGTATCTGAATCATGCAACTTGGGAGAATGTAACTGAGCTTTTCAAGGTTTTTGCTCTTTTCTTAAATATTGATTCCTTTTACAGCAGAACAAAAATATAAATTTTGAAAAGAAAAGCCTAATTCTTGATAATCTGTAAGTTAAATGAGTGCCATGATTTCAAGCTTTGACACAAATGGATGGGCAACTTTTTTGCTTTTTCTCCTACACTGTACTGGTGTACTTCCTCCTTCGCCTTCAAATGCACATCCTAAGGTCTCTTCAGATCCCCATTTCCCAAGATATCCGAGTACCGAAAGACGCAGGCGGGTTTAGTCTAAAATTTACAAAACAGTCCCCCTCCCACTGAAGCCAGCGAGTAGCTGGAGTGAGGATGACAGAGTTGGCTTTGTGGGCTTTTTCAAGGCAATGCATTCATCTCTACATGCCACTATCTAATATGTCATTGATACCAGGTGTTAGTTAACATACAGGTTTGTTTTTTCCTTTGGTCTTTTTGTGATTAAACAGATTATTGCTTACCAGCCCTACGGGAAGTCGGTGGATTGGTGGGCGTATGGAGTGCTGCTCTATGAGATGTTGGCTGGCCAGGTAAGAGCTCCCCTCCCGTGCTCACTGTCACCTCCTTCTGCCTCCCCAAAGCTGCTCTGTCCCCTAAAGGCTTAGACCTGGGACTGGGGGCTTTTGTACTGATATTATCTCTTTGTACTCTTGACTGACTCTGCTGAGAATGTATTTAGGCTTTAAGCTCTTTGTATTGCACCCACATAATCAAGCTCTGCCTTTGAATGCGACTTCTTTGTACTGTAATAATGTATAAATAGCCATCTTCAAAATTGAATGGGAGACACTTGAGCAGGAAAATGCATGTCAAATGGAAGAAATACCATTTAGTAGCTTGAAACCGTGGGGAAACATAATAAGAGTGTGTATACGCTCTGCATTGCAGTAAGTCACAAGAATAGAGATTTTGTATTGTATGTCCTAGGGGTAAAGTATGGGTCTCGCCACTTGAAATACGCTCAGTAACAGACCCCTTATTCTGCACAGTTAATGAGACGCTGCTCTCTGAGTCACTCAAGTAGAAAAGCAACACAGTGCTGCAGTAAATGGCAGATAACTACCAACTTTAAGGAATTCTATTAGTCTTGAGTTGGAAAAGATTTCAGCAATTGGTTTTCAGTAAGTGTTAGCTAAAGGAATGCGTTTCCTAAGCTTAAAACGTGTATTTTTAACAAAAGGCTTTAATAGATTCTGCACTAAATTCTAGTCGACATTTTAAAAGTTTTTAAAGTGCAGCAATTGCAGTTGTTAACATTTACAGTCTGCATTGCAAATATTGGGCATCCGAACGCTTTTGAGAGGTTGAGCTTTATCATTGGCCAAGTCTTGCACAGTGCCCATATCCTGGGGACTCACCCACAGGCACTTTCCTCTTCAGCTATATTTAAAAATAAAATGCAGTCCTTTCTTGCAATAGTCTCTCCTTCACAGAAGCACATCCTGTAAAACAAACTGGAAGTTAACCGCAACTGGGGAATGGATATACCTTAGCACAAGATAATTGAAAGCTGCAGTCTTCAAACTACTTGGGCTGTTCGTGGGGCACAGGAGCTTTAAAAACTGATAAAAGATGATCACAAAGATAATCCTGCATATACACTTCATTGACCTGGCTGCCATGCTGGGTGTAGAAATTAGCTTTTCTCCTCTCTTTCCACCTGACACAGGTAACTCCTGTGGCAGAAGACACCTGCGCTGCAGGGTGGGGCTCTGGGGTGTATCCCTGGGCAAGGACCGCTGCTGTATACAGGTCTTGCTGGGCATCTGTGATTGACTGGAGACAGACTGCTGAGTTGGATGCAGCTTTGCCCTGACCCAGTGTGGCTGCAATGTTCTCATGCCATTTCATAAAAAGTGGACAATTTAAAAAAAAAAAAAAAGAGCCAACAAGTAGCTCATCTGTGATTTATTTTCAACAGCCTCCATTTGATGGAGAAGATGAAGATGAACTTTTCCAGTCCATAATGGAGCATAATGTTTCCTATCCAAAATCGCTGTCCAAAGAAGCTGTCTCCATCTGCAAGGGGGTGAGATAGATGCTTCTTTATCATTAAGTTCCTCTTTGGCAATCCTTGTGAGTAACTAAATTTGTCTGGCTTTGATTAAGGCACTGTAGTATTTTTAAGTGCAGCTTCTGTCAGGCAGTGCTAAGCTGTATTGTCGTGAAGCGCTCATCGCTTGGTGTCACTGGTAAGTGTTCAGCAATTCCGGCTGTTTGTTTTATGATAAGAACAAATGTCAGAATTGGTAGCTGCCAAATCCAAAGCAGAATTTATAAACATGACGATGGTGCGAGATGTCTCCACCCGCCTTGCTTCCCAACCCTCGCCAGCACAACCTCGATTTTGAGGAGATTTCTCAGCTTGGATGGACACCAGGTACTCCAGCGGGTCCTCAGCTGAGTGCACCTAATGACAGCAGCAAAGTAAAAGAGTTAATAAGAACAATTTTTAAATGGAGATAAAGATGAGCTTATGTGAAAATCTTTAGCGTAAGTGCAAGGGAACTGTGGGACAATCCTGACCCGGTGGTAACCTGTGTGGCTAAAATTTATCTTAGATTCTAATTTAATTCAATCTATTTATTTTTTTGAGGAAAAGAATAGATTTTACTTCAGGAGATTGACTCAGGAAAAGAAGAATTCATCTGACTTTCCTTTAACTCTGTGTGATTCCTTAGAGTACTGTCACTTTGCAGCTTTTCCAAACCAGCCTCTATAAAGTGTTTTTTGATGTCTTACTTAGCACTGATAAAATATCACTGCACTTAGTGTTGGTTAATTTGGTATTTACTTTCTTCCTCTCCTTTACAACCATTTATGAAGTATTGTACGTGAGCTAGATAATAATCCCTTAAGGAAAGATCATCAAGACAAAGCAAGGCTGTTTAAAACAAGGTTAAAAGAAAGATCAATTTTGGAGCCTCTCCCGGTGTAGACATGCTGGCCAACAAAATCTAAACCTGGTATCTTTTTGTAAAGTACATGCAGATTGATGCCTTGTTGTGAAAATCATATATTCAAACAGCACAGTTTGAACTTGATCTGGTTACCCTGTTTTCAGCTCTCCTGCTTGCTGCTGCTTCACTGGGTGCTTATGCCGGGGGAGGGCAGAAAGCTAAAATTGCCCCGCACCACTTGGTTTAAGGTCAAGTCCCTGGGATAGCAACATGTTCATTTTCTGTATTAAACTAACAAATTGATCCCAAAATTCAGAGCACAGTTGACTTCCCAAAGTCTGCTGAGAGTTGCTTTTATTTTAGGTTTGGAATTGGAATCTGATCAACTCAACATTTGGAGGGAGACTAAAGCGGTACAGCTGAGGTTTTAAAAAGATATGTTGAGGTATCACTCCTAGCAGTATATTAATCATATATAATTTGGAAAAGAGTTTGAAAAAGTCCCCACAATGCTGGGACTGGGAGACGAAGGCTACGTTGCTCAATTCCTGATGTCCATATCAGTTGAAAATATTTTGAGAAGCTTGATAATAAGGAAGCATAGAATCATAGACTGGCCTAGGCTGGAAGGGACCTTAGAGACCATTTAATCCAACCTCCCTGTCATGGGCAGGGACGCCTCTCAACTAGATCAGGCAACACATGGGGACCGAACGGGGATCAAACCCGTGACCTTGGTGTTATCAGCACCATACTCTAACCGACTGAGCTAACTGGAGCATATTACTGTTTCCAAGCATGCAATGCTGGTGGGGCTTGTTTGGGGTTTTTCCCCCAAGCCTGTTTAATCTATGCAGCTGGGTGTAGTATTGACCAAGATGTCATTAAGGATGCAAGGGAGGACATGCAGGGTGGATGTTGTCAGCTGGGTGCCAAGAAATTGTAGACTCTGTAATGAGATGTCTCAAACAAGCCCAGAAAAATGTAAAGGGGCGGGGGGAGGGGGTTGTACTTTGTCCAGCTTTAGTATATTGGAATTTATTACATTTAATTGATTGTTGAGGTAGGGCAGAAACTGTTCTGGAAATTTATAAGGCTGAACCAAAAGACCAAAGGTGAAATTCAGTAGTGAACTGTGAGTTACCAGGATGGCAGGTTGCCCTGGCACCATCTGCCCACCCACATCTCCAGCAGCAACCTCTGCCGAAGGGAAAAACGTTCTCCAATGCAGCTCTTGATGTTGCTGCTGATGTGCTGTCTCCAGTAATCAAACAAGAAAAATAATCTTAAAAAAAAAAATTACCTTTTCAAAACAATTTTATTCATGACTAGCATCTTCCAGAGAGGAGCAAGAGCATCACAGTCTGGGGAAAGCGTGTCTCACTTTCATGGTAGCATTAAATTTAATCCTGGCTTATATTTTCCCTTAATAGCTAATGACTAAACATCCTGCAAAACGCCTTGGCTGTGGCCTTGAAGGTGAAAGAGACATCAGGGAACATGCTTTCTTCAGGAGAATCGACTGGGAAAAACTGGAAAACAGAGAGATTCAGCCACCTTTCAAACCTAAAGTGGTGAGTGAGATGCCAAGTACTTCCCTCGCTAAATGTGTCTGCCGTCATGCTTTCCCGTGGGGTGAGATTAATGCTGGCTTGATGGTGCTGCAAATCTGGGACACTTCTAAAAGAAGGCAATTTGATTATGGCAGGCCCGTCTGTAAATCTGCTGAAGTTTTGGCACCCTGTAGCACAACTCAGTGCACTTTGTTCCTTGCAAAAAAAAAGAGTCTCAGTGGTTTGAGTCTTGACTTTGACGGTCAGGCACTGCAGGAGAAACTGAAAATGGGGAAAACTGGCATATTCATATCAGCCACTTTGAGATACGTACGAAATGCAGTTCCCAACTGTCTCCTCTGAACAGCATCCGAAGTCAATGGTTAAAGGGATCTGGATCAATGGGGTGAATTTCCTCCACAGCGGGCGCACAGCACGGGGAGTTTGTATTCCCCGTCCTTGAGTGACAGAACGCACAGCTGCCAAGGTTGCAGGAATAATCCATGATTTATTTTTAATGTTTATTACTGGTTTACACACATGTGTCTGCAGGAATGTTCTAGAAATCCAAACGCATGGAAGATGTCCTTATCATGAGAACTGTTTGCGTAACAGAATTTGAAGAGCTGTATTTGTTGATACAGAATTTCTTTCAGCATGTACTGGGCTGTATTGGCAGGCAAAGAAAAGTATTTGCACACAAGAATACAAGCTTTCAGGAACAGCTGTAAATTATTATATCCTAGCATTAAATATCTCTTTAACGCTTTCTTTGTTTCAGCTGAGGTGTGTAGCTGGCTAGAGGTACAGCATCATTGGTCTGTACACTGATTTATTTGCCGTTAGACACGCTGGTGTGGTACCACAAGCTAATGAGCAGAATACATTCCTCTCTTCTTGCTTACAGATGACTTTTTCACATCACCAGGAGGAGAGTTACATGCTGAGAAGAGTGTTTTGTGCTAAGGGAAATACCCTTCTCACGTGGTGTGGATTTTGCATGCAGGGAAGGGTGTAAGTGAGGAAAGGACACACGCGGTGCTGCCAGCCCTGCCCGGCTGGTCCCAGAGCTGTCCATCTCTAAAGCTGTTTTATGGAAGATTTTCATTACATGCTTCTTGAGTCGAATTTAAAGCTGATCGTAAAGCAAATCTACCTTCACATCTGTAAGTTTTATTAGCTCGGGAACTGAGAGCTTAGACTCTCCTTGAAGTTAAAAGTAACGTCAGCGTGAAGGCAGTAAAAAGCTGAAGTTTGGTCTCGTTCCATCACAGCAGATCCTGGCTCCTGTTTAGAGCAGCTGCGCTCCCTCTCCGTGGTTATCATGACCTGTTTTGTTTGTACAGGCTGCTATTAAAATACACCAAGGTGTATTCACATGGAGCCTAACTTTCCCAGATGAAGAATCCAAGGCTGATATTTACATACCTTATGTAGAACTCTTTTATTATGCTTGTTTATATTGATTCTCAAAAGCAAAAAACACACAACCTGTAATCTGTTTGAAGATAAGAATGTATTTATAGGCTTTGTTTGGGCTGGTGTTTTTTTCGGAAAACCTTTGCAGGTGCATCTTCTCTAGGAAGCACATTGCTGCAGGAATAATCCTGCTGCTTTTGCACACTGCTGTGGTTCTCACTCAGACAAGGAGCTGCAGATTTGGGGTCAGCAGCTGGTTGGTTTAAATAATGTGTTCTCTTCCAGATTGACATTTCACAGTCTATAGACATAGGCTTATTATTTGGCAAGACAGATATTTTACTTGCATTTGTAAGTTTAAGAGTTCTGAGAGTCCTGTGTTTTCACTTCTGCTTTAATACTGCATTAATGTCCACAAAAGCAAAGCTACTCCTTAGTGTGAAGACAAATACCTAAATGACGATGCAAATTTATTGATAAATTATTATATTCACACCACTCAGAAAATACCCAGATTTCACGTGATTTAATTCTTAGCCTCTACTAGTATCAGCAATAGTGAGAGACCTAATGTAGTCAGGAACTGGTTTCAGTATACAGCTCTTGCTGAAAAAAAAAGGAAAATAAAATTTTAAAATGCATAATTTCATGGAAGGATGATGCATATCTGTAGAACATCTTTTTAGCAAAAGTCTTCCCTCTACAAATAGGCCTTTTGTTACTGCTCTGAGTTGACTGTACTGCCTCTAAGTAAATTTGACTATTAATTTGGAGATATTTGAACTTTCATTCCAAGGATGCGGAGCTTTCCCCTTGTCAGAATGAGCTCTGTCCTTTCTTGTTCTCCAGAGATTCTGTACCAAAACACTCTGACTTTGGTGGGTGCCCGGGTGAGCGCAGAACCCTGGAGCCGTTACCCTTGAAGTGTTCCTCTGCTTGTGCTCTTCCAAGACTGAGCAATGTCCTTCCGTGAGCACTTTGCGGCTCAGATCAGATGTTGTGTCCCAGCCCAGGACCTGCCAGGTGCTTTGTGAGAAGCTTAGAAAGAGTGACGGAGCTGCTTTCAAGACAGCCAGCCACCTCGGCCTCGAGTGCCCTTGGTGGTCCCATCTTCACTTGGTTTCTCCTATAAATGCACGGTTTTATTTATGTTGCGTTGGTTGGGAAAAATCAATGTTTAATGTTGGTCTGTTGTACAAGCTATTTTCTACCCTTTGCAAGTTACCCTCTAAATGTGAAGGTAATAGTGTGACGTTACCCTCTAAGTCTGCCGGTAGGTATGTTGTAGGGATGGAGGGGTAGGAGAGGGACAGGGACAACAGGAAGAAACTTTCAGTGCCTTCATCACACAGCCATGCTTTGTTCAAAGATCTGTTACAGCAGATAGTTTTGAGATAAGCAGATTTACCAGTTTCCTTTAGACCTCTCCACAGTACTCAGTGCCTCATGTTCCTCAGATACGCTTTTTTTCTCACACCCATGCAAATGTTGTTCTGGTACCCCCCTTCATCCTTTTTAACTCACCTCTAGCCATTCTTCCCTGACTTTTCAGATGTTTGCCACTCTACTCCAAACCATCCCTTTGCAAACGTGATTTCGTTTTCTGTCCTGAATGAGGACATGGGCTTTGTGAGATGACATGTCTTGTCTCCTAGAAAAAAAAAAACAACAAAAAAGTGAGGAAACCTGTGACAGCACATTCTGTGATGAGGACTCGTTCCCCAGCGGAGCTTCTGGCCCCAGCTCCCTCCTGCAGTCCCCAGGACCAGAGCTCTGCTGCTGCTTAAGAGTTTACAAGCATTTGTAGGCTGTGCAATGAAGAATGAAAGAGTGCACATTAAAGTTTCTGCAGAGAGTGAAGGATATGCAAACTAACACGTAAATTTAATTTTGCAATATAAAAGTTTTAAGAAGAATGAAATGACTTGACACATAAAGTTGTTTTTTCGTCTTTTCTATCCCAGTAATTCTGTATATTCGAGCCTCTTAACCTTGTCGCCTCAAGCTGATGGATGGAAACTCTTCTGACTTTTGTTTCTCATCAGAATTCGTCTATTCAAACTTCTCTGCCTGGGATTTTTTGTTAAAGTATCTGAAAAAGAAATTCTCTCTTAAAATAAGAAATGAGCAAAACTCTTGCATGTGTCATAAAAAATCTGCAAAAAGCTAGAACTGTCAGGATGTTACTGGGGGTTTTTCAGCCTTTTTTTTTGTTTTTTTCTTGCAGTGTGGCAAAGGTGCTGAAAACTTCGATAAATTCTTCACACGAGGACAGCCGGTGTTAACACCTCCGGATCAGCTGGTCATTGCTAACATAGACCAAACAGATTTTGAAGGGTTCTCTTACGTCAACCCCCAGTTTCTACACCCCCTTTTACAAAATGTAGCATGAAAGGGCAGAACAGGAACAAATCACACAGTGGGGAACGGTCCTTAACCCTACAATTTTTAGGCTTTTGCCTTGTTGATTCCGTTTGAGCCTGGAAATTGTAGGGTTAGAAGGTGGAAGGATGGAGGAAAGGCCACTTATTCAGGCTTCTGGATGTGCAACAGCAATGTTGTCCTAATGAATAGGAGATAAATTAATGTGCGGTGCCCACTTATTCTTCTAGAAGTCACCACCAACTTGTCTAAACTTACCCACTTTTTGGTACGTTATATATTTTTGTAACTCCCCACTGTCCTTTTGCTCCCTTTTCCACTCTGCTGTGTTTGAAGTAATTTAATGTATGGTCTGAAAAAGGAAAAAAAACGAAAACCAAACCAACATTGAATATTTGGTCCTTTGGATGCTGGGAGAGAGGAGCGCTCGCCCTGCTCTGCCCGTTGCCTTCGGAGAGCGAGAGACCGAGCCGGTGACAGCCCCGGGGAGGAAAGGGCTTGCAGAGGGGTGGTTGAAAATAGTTGTTTTGAAAATTGGAGAGGAACAAGTTGGGAGTGGGTGGGAATGGGGAGGAGGAGGACAAAATCAAATTGGACCCTGAGGCTTCGCGAACCGATCCTGTAAGCATCACCAAGTTGAAACATGCTTCAGCGGTGGCCGGATCTCTAGGATCTTTGCTAAGTAGCACGTGATAAAGTTGAGGGTGAAATTTTGTCTTTAATAATAATAGTAGTAATAATTTTAATAATATTTTTGTGAATTTTAATCTCCATGAGATTATTCTGTGATCCAGGGTGCCATTGTTTGTTCAGTTAATTTAATTTACACCACTCCTCAAGTTTACTGGTAACTGGTTCTAATACCAATATTTTACTACGAAATTTATTAACCTGGAATGTAAAAAAAAACTGTAATCCCTTAGATCTTATTTACACATATTTATTTATATTCTGTAGTATAGGGCAGTAAATTGAAGAAAGCGTTATGTATACTAAATTAACAAAAATGCAGCCCCAAGTGACTTCCTGATTTCTCCAGAATAACTCATGAAAATCAAGTGAGATTTAATCTTAAAATAATCAGTTTTAATTCAGAAAACTTTGGGCTGTAGAATAATCAAGCCTGAAAGAAGAAGCACCTAAAACTTGTTTTATTGATAGAATGGAATTTAATACATTTTACATATGCTTCATGCAATGAATTTTGCATGTTTAGTAATAACTCTTAATAATAAGGGTTAATAATAAGTAGATCTATATTATTGACATAACCGTATCAAGCATAAAGAGTATTATAAAAATTTTATAAAACAATTTGTGCTTTATTTGTGAAGTTCTTGTTCTGAATGACATAATTTAGATTTAGCTAAATGTTTTATGGCTATTGGTTTAGTTTTTACTTTGGGTTTTGGATATTGTTAATGGCTTAGGGTATAATCTCTTTTTTTTAAAGTAGATCTACTTTTAAAGAGTAATTACTACCTGCAGGTTTTATACAAGGTTCAATTAGGCTTTCATTTCACGGCCGCTTATTACTACAGAGAAGGAAGTAGGCTTTATTTGCAATGATGAACACTGTAATTAACACAATCTTCTCCTCTCCTATCACTTAGATACAAAATTTTGATATTTCCTCTTACAACTTACCAGAAAATATTAATACAAATACCAGTAAATATTTTGTGTGCATATTTTTGGTTTCATTATGGCATGTAAAATAGTAGTTCGGCGCCTTTTCCTTTTTTATTATTTTTTCCCTTCTGCTGTGTTGCCGTCAGCAGCCATAGGCACGTTTTGTCTGTCAGATGTGCATGACGATGCCAGAAGCATGATGTCTCTGTCGCTGCATGCAAACTGATTACAATTCTTCCAGCATGTAAACATATTCAAAAAGTAAGGTATTTGCCATAAAAAAACTTAAAATTTATACTAGAATAGGTAACTTGGGGCGGGGAGGGGAGGGATCTAATTTCTCATCGTCTTTTATGACAATAAAATGTGGAACCTGTGCCAAAGATTCTGTTAGAAAGATCTAATCCTGGCAACTGGTGGCCGAGTGGGTGGCTGTGATTTGAGGGTGACCCGTGGTGGAGCGGGGACAGTTTCTGAGTGGAACGCGGTCGGATGCGAACGGCGACTGTGTCGCGTTCCTGCACCCGAGGTGCCCTCAGAAGAAGCCGGATTTTTGATGCCCGTGACGTGCGATTTGCAGCACTCCGGAGGTTTGGCTTTTGCCAGCCCGTGGCCCTTCCGCAGCCCCAGCTCTAAGCGAGGAGCATCTCCCCAGGGTAAGACTGAGCAAGTTTAACGAGGCGTGGGAGAGCGGAGCGCTAACGAGGGACGTGGCTGGCTAACAAGAACTCGGATTGTTGCCTAAATAAACAGAACTCAAAACTTTTAAAACGTTTAGGAGTAAAAATTTTAAACCATTCTGTGTCAAATATGTTAGCAGCCAAGTCTGGGAGTTCATTTTCTTCTTTGTATATTATATACTTTAAAAATTATGGTATTCACCATAAAGCATGTGGTCTAGTGCAGCATTCATGACTACTTACATTTTGCTGAATGTTATTAGCCTGCCATAGTTTAGGAAAATCTGAGTATAATGCTGTAGGAGGTAAGAGGTTAAACAGATTACTGAGGCTCAGATTTTGAATAATTAAGGCTCTCAATTAAGTCAGTCTGCCGAGAGATGGCATTATGTGTGTTTTAAGAATGTACAATGAAAAAGAGACCTTTGAAAAAGGAAAATACTGGGAGAAATACCAGTGCACAGTTTTTAGAAGTAAGAAAAGCAGAACAGGGGCAGAAGTGAACCAAGCCAGAAACAGGCAGGAGCTCCTAGAGGTCGATCTTGCAGAACAGATCCCAGAGGTCGATGTTCCTGAGCAGTTCTGGGGTTCCTGGTGAAGTAGGGATTGCACGGGGAAGCCCCGTTGCGGGTGGTTGTTGGTGGCAGAGCTGTGGTTATCAGTGCTGCTCAGAACGTGGCAGTGAAGAGCTGGTGCACATCTGGACATCTGCTTATTTTCTGGCTACTCCTCTCAACCAGTTTCTTAGGCACTTGCGTTTGCTTCGCAGTTTTCTGATGCAGAAGCAGAAATTCCTCTTTAACGTTGTTACCTCAAGTCCCTGGGCTTGCCACATCTCCTGTCGTCTTCTGTAGGTGTCTGTAATGCTCACGGAAAGGTACTGTCAACTCACGGGTCCTGCAAAAACCAGGTGGGGTTGTATAAAGCAGGGGTTGAATAGTTGTGTTGCTCCTCACTGCTCTGCACTCACATGTGAACGCTCACACTTGGAACAGCCCTTTAGCGAGAACTCAGGGTGGCTTGCTCATCAGCCAGAAATTTATAACGGCAAGTAAAACATTTAAGTATCCAGCAAGCGTTCCCATATCTTTTTAAATGCAGATGTTATTTATATAATATTTTTCATAACATTTGGTTTTCTAGAGGGCATTTGTCAACACAGGGAGAGGCATCAGAACTGCTTTTCTTTCACGTGTGTTTGATATTCCCAACGCCCACGTTACCACAGAGATTTCTGAAAGCCAAACTGAGAATTACAATGCACTGAAGGGGAAGTTCCACCTCCCGCTGGGGTGGAAGTTTTGGGAGCTGTGTTTCCATCCCACGTGTTTCCATCCATTTCCATCCAGAGCAGCCCCGTTCCTGCCGGGGGAGGCACAAGGCTTACAAGCTGTTTTCAAGGATTAAATGGGACTTAACTGGCATCTAGGGAAATTTCATTATTCAGACATCTGTGTGTTTTTATCCACCTCCCAGTCACTTCAGCAGGGTGGTGGATTTCCGGGACAGCCACTTCCCCTGTCAGCCAGTCTCGGTGCTCTTAGCAGGGATTGCACATTTGTGAGGAGGAGAGGGCACGTTCCCATAATAAAATACTCCCCCTTAATCCAATTGGGAAGAGAAATGCAATTTAGTTTCCTGATCCTTCGTTCTTTCCAGAAATACAATTGAATTTTCTTTTAAAAACTGAAGAAAGTTCTTCTGGAAATCAGCTGTTAGTTTAAAAGAAACTTATCATGTCTGAATGCTGCTGGCCTTTGAAATCCATCCTGTCCTCCGGGGTGAATTCAACTGAATGATGCTGGGCTTCTGTAAAATTAATAAGGTCAAGTGAGAGAGAAACTTGTCCCCTAGCCGGAGAGATGACGTGTCCAAGGACTGGCATTTGGGGGTGCCACTTGCAAAATCTGTTTTCTCGGTCCATGCATCCAGATGCAATCCCCGTGAAATGCCGTAGGAGACACATGCAGTTGGCAGAGGGGGAAGATCCTCCTCGTTAAGCAAAACACATCATTGGAAATAATAATAATTCCATAATAAAGCTAATAAGGCTTTGATAGGAGTAGGAAGCATACTTAGAGTACTGAGTTTACAGTGGGCTTTCAGTCCTGCCGTGAAACTTCTGTAAACATTTAATGTGATTTTCAGTTCTTTTAGTCGTTAGCATAAATTATTGTACATAAGTTTTGTCTCTTTGCAAACGTGAGTGTGGGCTCCAGGTGACGTGTTTCCTCCAGGAGCCCTGCGGTAGGGAAGCCCTGAGCTGCCAAGTAGTGAAAAAGTAGACGAGCTAAAGCACTTTTTTCCTCTGCTCCACACGCTTAGATGGGATCTGAAACAGTTGAAGAACTAAATAAGAATTGACTCCATAAACATGTGTGATTTCCTACCAACCTGTAACTGTGCCAGGAACGATTGGTAATTAAATAGCCTTATAAAGAATAATCATCATGCACTACAACCCTCCCGTTCCTAGGAAAACCTTGAGAGAGAGGGCAAGTTCCTAACCTCTCTGCCTCAGTTACCTCATCTGTAACATGGTAATAATAATACTTACTTACCTCACAGGGAGGTGTGAGGACTTCTTAGGTAATGTTTCTACTACACTTTTAACCTGAAAAGAGTTGTGTAAGTATTATTATAATTTTTAATATGAGAATGGCTTATTCGATTCACATGGTATGGCTGGATATACCAT